TACATTTGATTTGGATATTTTTGTTCTCTGTCTTTCTCTCATACACACACACACTCAATATGTGTATTTCTATATATTATAACTATTCTCAATTCACTTGTGACACTATACACACATACACTACACCTAATATATGCACATTGGATTTGGCCAATAAAGTAATTTGGCCAATAAACACACATTACTTTATTGGCCAAATCCAATGTGTATATATTAGGTGTAGTGTATGTGTGTATATGTATATATTAGGTGTAGTGTATGTGTATGAGAGAGAGACAGAGAACAAAAATATCCAAATCAAATGTAGCCAATATTTCCCTGCTTTCCTTATTCTCCATTATTAATGAATACACACACACACTATATACTAGCCGTCCCCTGCCACGCGTTGCTGTGGCCCAGTCTGTATATATATTTTGTGTGTGTGTGTATATGTGTGTATATGTGTCTATATCTATATCTATCTCTCTATATAGCAAACACACATATATACACAAAGATATATATATAGATGGGTGTATATGTTGTGTGCATATGTCTGTATACGTGTGTGTATATATTTGTGGATTTCTGTGTTTATATGTGTAAATGTATATTGTGTATATGTGTGTGCTTGTGTATATATGTGTATGTATGTCTATATGTATGTATATGTATGCATGTGTATATGTAATTATATGTATATGTGTACATGTCTATATGTGTGTATATGTGTATATTTGTGTGTGCTTGTGTACATCTATGTGTGTGTGTGTCTGTATGTATGGGTATATGTATATATAGCTTATTTTGGGGGGTTTAAAGTCCATTCAGCTGAGCTTTTTGTGTGTTTTTAGGGCTGATGGACACTCATTGGCCTGATAGGTGTATAGTGTCCAAGTTTGTCAATTCGTCCAGTGGCTTTTGAGTTATGTTAATCCCACAAACAAACATTACATTTTTATTTATATAAGATATATATATATATATATATATATATATATATATATATATATATATATATATAAAAATTTTATATTATATATATATWATATGTATGTGTACTTTCCKATATATATATATAATATATATATATATTATATGTATGTATGTGTATGTGTGTGTATAAAAATCCACGTGGGATTGTTGCTGAAAGAACTGCTTCATTTACAGAGATCCAAGTATAAATAGTTTGGAAAAGAATTTGGTATGTCAACCTGGAACTATCCCTATTGTTCTTCAGGGATTGGGAAGAAGGGAGAACAAACCTCAGAAAGAACGAGGATTCTATGGTTCTAGGATGCCTTCCTGAGACTAAATAAAAATCACAACAACTGGTGTCCAAATTAGGAGAACTAAAAATGTGCACTATTTGATGACTGGCGTGATATTACCCCATTACCCTAACCGGTATTTCTCGAAACCCTTTTAAAAAAAACTTGGAAAAAATAAATTATTGTTTTGTTGTTATGGAGATTCTCCCCCACCAACGACATCACAAAATTATAACCTCGGTATATGCAGAATCATACAAAAGGGTAATAATGGCAGTTTAGTACGGCTTGGATGGCGTCGCTTTGAAATTAAACCCATAAGTAAAGGGGGAATTCAGAAGAAGGGCAAATAAGGGCAAACACACAATCGATAGCTGTGATTCATGTCCATTGATATTGGGAAACATCGCACAGGTAGAACGAGACAGACTTAAGATGTGGGAGGGCTATTTCAATACATTGCTATGGAGGCCACAATGGCCTGAAAAGAATCACCTTCCCACCTAGTAAGTCTATCCCATTCTTGGAGAGTCTGACTGGTGCCCTGGGGTAAATACACACTGTAGAATTGATGCAGTTTGATACCACTTTAACTGGCTTAATGCTATGGAATGCTGGGAGTTGTAGTCTGTACTCTTTGAAGGTTGAAGACATTGTCAAACTGCAACTGTCATGATCCGTAGTATCCAGTCGTGATAGTTAAAGTGTCAAACTCTGTCAATTCTACAATCTTGGCCCTATCTACGGTGCCATATTAAATCTAGAATATCTGCGTTGAGCTGGATTATATGGCCGTGTAGACTCATATAATCCAGTTCAGTGCAGATAATGTGGATTATAATACATAGTAATAAAACTTTATTTATACCCTTCACCATCTCCCCTAAGGAATCTGGGCTGAACTGGATTATATGGCCGTCTGGAGTCATATAATCCAGTTCAATGCAGATGAATTGGACTATAACAAATAATAATAAAACTTTATTTATATCCTCCACCATCTCCCCTAAGGGACTCTGGGTTGAACTGGATTATATGGTCGTGTAGACTCATATAATCCAGTTGAATGCAGATAATATGGAATAATAATAATAATAATAATAATAATAATAATAATAATTTATTTATACCCGCCACCATCTCCCCGGAGGGTCTCGGGGCAGCTCACAAAATTATCTGTTTTGATAATGTGGATTACATGGTAGTGTAGAAGGAACCAAAGTCGATTGGAAGGCCCATTTATTCCAGTAAGACTGACTTTTTTCGGGGATTGCCTTTGAAACCATATCATACATAACCTTACTTGGAGCTAGCACATGGCAGTCATTTTTATTTTCCGGATCTAAATGTTGGATTAGGACTCAGTTGGGAACCCCGTTCAGCCACTGGGCAGGTCACACTGTCTCAGCTTCCGATGTGGGAAAAGGGTCGACACAAGTGGGAAACGACTGGAAACCCCACAACTACAAACATCCCCTTTTCCTTTCCCCTTCAAAAAATATGTTGCCAGAGAATCCAAGAGGCAAAGAGGCAAAACTTGCGAGAGAAATAGGGGTGTGGTGAGACAGTTAATTTTGTATCGCTTTGGTTGAGTAACTGCGTGAGTCTTACAATCGGGTGAGTTTTACTTCTCATTTCTTCCAAGGACGAATCTACATGGATCTATGTAATGCCGGCCAACCCATTTCTAAGTGGTCAATGCTGATGGGGCCTAGGCAACTTTCAGACAGTATAGTCACAGGATTACGAATGCATTCTATTAGTAAACAATCTGAAACTATAGAGATTGGGTTGTGTGTGAGAGGGGACTAAACACCAAACAAAGCACACAAGAAAGGAAAGAATCACAATTCCAGTCTTTAGGAGGGAAGATTTCGGCAGAGTGAGGGGAGACCCGACTTGGAGGGACTACAAAGCACAGAATTAGCTGTCCTTTCCTTCCCAGTTCTGCATTGAGAAAATATTTCCCTGCCCCCCTTCCGGGAAGAGCTTCCACAGCTAGATCAGTTGGGATTGAAGACCCGTCTCTTGCCCGTCAATTTGAAGTTGTGAATTTGAATATGCCTTTCATTAGTATAGTTTAACTCACGCATGGGTAAACTTGGGCCCTCCGAGTGTTTTGGATTTCAACTCCCACAATTCCCAAAAGCCTCAGGCCCTTTCTTTTACCCCGCCAGCCGCACAGGAAGGGGCTTGAGACTGTTAGGAATTGTGGGAGTTGAAGTCCAAAACACCCGGGGGGGGGGGCAAGTTTGCCCGTGCCTGGTTTAACTTGTATTTTAAGTCTGTATATCCTGTTGTATGTTTTTCATAGTGTTTTATCTCTCTTTAAAAATGATGTATCTCGCCTCAAGCCGCAGGGAGAGGCGGGTAATAAATTCATTATTATTGTTGTTATTTGAAACACAACAAGATGATGAGTACACAGCAAACAAGATCACTGTGCTGGTTGTTTTATTGGATTTATTATTATTATTATTATTATTATTATTATTATTATTATTATTATTATTATTATTATTATTCCTGACTCCATAAAGTTTAGGATTCTGGAATTTGGAATCGCTTTCTCCTAACTTTGCAACTGGGGAAATGTTTCCACAAACACCCCTCCCAAGTTAAGGTTTATTCCACGAACATGTGTGTTTCACTGCCGGAATTATTTATATGTAGGGTTGTTATTTTTTTGCTTTTATGTGTGTGTTGGTTGTTGTCTTCAGGCATTGAATGTTTACCTTTTTTGATTGGAATACTCTCCGAGTCCCTTCGGGGAGATAGGGTAGAATATAAATAAATAAATATATTATTATTATTATTATTATTATTATTATTATTATTATTATTATTATTAATCACGGGGGTGTATGGCCGTGTTTTAGCAGCATTTTCTCCTGAGGGCCCTTCCACACAGCCCTGTATTCCAGAATATCATGGCAGAAAATCCCACAGTATCTTCTTTGGGTTATCTGAGTCCACACTCAGATAATGTGGGATTTTCTCCCTTGATATTTTGGGATATAGGGCTGTGTGAGTTTTCCGGGCTGTGTGGCCATGTTCCAGAAGCATTCTCTCCTGACGTTTCACCCACAACCTCTGAGGATGCCTGCCATAGATGTAGGTGAAACGCCAGATGAGAATGCTTCTGGAACATGGCCATATATCCCGGAAAACTCACAGCAACGAAGGGCCCTTCCACATAGCCCTGTATCCCAGAAGATCAAGGCAGAAAATCCCACAATATCTGATTTGAACTGAGTGTGGACTCAGATTATGTGGGATTTTCTGCCTTGAAATTCTGGGATATAGGGCTGTGTGGAAGGGCCCCCAGTGATTCCGGCTATGAAACCTTTCACAATACATTTTCTCCAGTTGGGGCGAAACGTCAGGAGAAAATGCTGCTAGAACACAGCCATACAGTCCGGAAACCAAACAACACCCCATATATGCTTTGAACCTGTACGTGTTTATGTATGTTGGTGGCTAGAACTGTGACTTGAGCACCCCATGTTTTCCGTTCTCCCCACGCCACAGCTCTCCCACTGTCTCGCGTGTCTTCCTCGCCTTTCCTCTGGAGCTCCTTCCTGACCATGTCGCCGCTTGCTTCCTTCCTCTCTTCTCTCCTCTCTTCTCTCCTGCCATCCTTTTTCTTTTGCTCCCTTGCCTCTCCCCCCAACCCCACCCCACCCTTCAAACCCTGCCCTGCCTCTCCAGTGGCCCTCTCACCGTTCACTGTAACACGCCGTATAGGTCACCCCTACCAGAACCGGACGCCGCCCAAGAAGAAGAAGCCCCGCACCTCCTTCACCCGCCTCCAGATCTGCGAGCTGGAGAAGCGCTTCCACCGGCAGAAGTACCTGGCCTCCGCCGAGAGGGCCGCCTTGGCCAAGGCCCTGAAGATGACCGACGCCCAGGTCAAGACCTGGTTCCAGAACAGGAGGACCAAGTGGAGGTGAGAGAGGGAGGGGAGGGAGAAAAAATGTGCCTGTATGTGTGTCTGAGGGGGGAAGATGTACAAGTTAAACATGCACAACATGCCAACAATGTCATGCTGCGGCAAAAAAGCCAATGGGATTTTGGCCTGCATCAATAGGAGTCTAGTGTCTAAATCCAGGAAGTCATGCTACCCCTCTATTCTGCCTTGGTTAGACCACACCTGGAATATTGTGTCCTATTCTGGGCATCACAATTGAAGATTGATATTGACAAGCTGGAATGTGTGCAGAGGAGGGAGACTAAAATGATCAAGGGTCTGGAGAACAAGCCCTATGAGGAGTGGCTTAAAGAGCTGGGCATGTTTAGCCTGCAGAAGAGAAGACTGAGAGGAGACATGATAGCCATGTATAAATACGTGAGAGGAAGTCTAATGAGGAGGGAGCAAGCTTGTTTTCTGCTGCCCTGGAGACTAGGATGCAAACAATGGCTTCAAACTACAAGAAAGGAGATTCCATCTGAACATGAGGAAGAACTTCCTGACTGTGAGAGCTGTTCAGCAGTGGAACTCTCTGCCCCGGAGTGTGCTGGCGGCAGCTTTTAAACAGAGGCTGGATGGCCATCTGTCGGAGGTGCTTTGAATGAATTTTCCTGTTTCTGGCAGGGGGTTGGACTGGATGGCCCATAAAGTCTCTTCCAACTCTATAATTCTATGATGCACCGGATTCAAAATTGCTAATACACTCTCAACTCTAATGCGCACCTCCATTTTCAAAACCCTGAAACCACAAAAGTATTTCCTGCTGAATGTCATACAAAATGCCAAAAAGTGCACTTTCTGTAATTTGGCCTCAAAGGGTGCCTGCTTTAAACACAAAAATGTTAGGACAACAAAGTTTCCAGTGGTGAAAGGGAAAACTTCCCTAGTGCAGCTATGCTGCAGAATCAATCCATTTCAATTGTTGGGTTGATGTGAGTTTTCCGGTCTGCATGGCCATGTTCCAGAGGCATTCTCTCCTGACGTTTCGCCCACATCTATGGCAGGCATCCTCAGAGGTTTGAGCTCTGTTGGAAACGAGGCAAGTGAGGTTGATATATCTGTGGAATGTTCAGTGTGGGAGAAAGAACTATTGTCTGCTTGAGGCAGGTGTGAATGTTGCAATTGACCACCTTGATTCACATCAAATGGCCTTGTAGCTTCAAAGCCTGGCTGGTTGCTGCCTGGAAAAAGTTTACAAAGCTCTCTGCCATCTTTGCCTGCATCTTCAATGCCAAATGAGGCAGTTTGAACTGTGATTGTGTTAGGTTTCATCCCTGGACTGCACAAGTCTCCAGTCCTCAGTGAGTAGATAGACTTAGATATAGGATTAGAGTGAGGGATTCCTCCCCCTACATTCCTATGCATGCTTCTCCCAGAAGGGGCTTTGTCTTTTCTCTTCTTGCTTGCCACTATCTCTCCCCTCCCCCCCTGTTGAATATGTAGCAATGGAAACTTTGTGTGGGATGAGGTAACTTACTCTGTAAAGCTGTTTTTATTGCCCTGGCTTGGCCATGTGGTGATTCTTCATTGCTTTCACTCTCTGCCTTTGTCTCTCTTGGAGTGAGGACACATTTTGCCTTTCTCCAGGCAAAATGTAGCTGCATGTATACTTTTGATATTTTATCTTTTTATCTTCCTTAAAAGATGAGCTTAGAAGACCATTCCTATCTGGAATGGATATCTTTTTTACTTCAATAAATATTTTGAACCTAAAGTTCTGTTTCTGCAATCCTGTACCATCCTGTTGAATGGAAGCTAATCCAACACACTTAAGTTTCTGCTGGTTATGAAGTTTGCTTCTAGCACTCTGCTATATTTTGGTGGAATCACCCCAAGTGAGGGTTATTTTTGAGCCTAACAGCTCAGATTCTCAACAGATTGCATGGTTGGGTCTTCACTGACCACAAAATATTGACCCAAATATACAGTTCAAACTGCATCAACAGTAAAACACAAAAACAAGAAAATACACAAATAGACACTAATCACTGTCCTAAAACTCCTGTAATAGTGAACATACATTAAAACACGATTAAAACTTGATTAAGTTAAAAGTTAATGATAATTAAAATATCATCATTAAAGTGCCAAGGTAAAACTTCATACCACAGAAGTTAAGGACGAATGTTAAAACAAGGTTAAAATAGACCAGCTATTACACAAACCCAATCCAGTTTAGATATCTGTGTCACCCCTACAGTTTACCCCAATCACCTTCAAATATGCAGTTCTCAGCTGTGTTGCTTTATGTAGAAAAAAGGATGTTTGGTGTGTTATCTTAGCATTCTGGCCAGCCATTAAAAATGTAGTTTTGATATGGAGATTCCAGTGAGTCTTCTGTGTAATGAATAGTCTGAGGTATTGATTTCTCTCTTTCTTGTGCAAAATAAACTTTTCCGGACAAGCTTACTTATCCGAATGTATCTCTCCTTATGAACCATCTAGGACACTAAGATCTTCTGGGGAGGCCCTGCTCTCAGTCCCGCCATCCTCACAGATGCATTTGGCAGAGATGAGAGACAGGGCCTTCTCAGTGGTGGCCCCTTGACCATGGAATGCCCTTCCCAGGGATATGAGAGCAGTCCCTTCCCTCCTGACTTTTTGAAGAAAGGTTAAAACCTGGCTTTTTGAGCAGGCTTTTGCTAATCCAGCATAATTATTCAAAATCATGGAATGACCTGATGATGCAATTGAATAATGATTTTAACTAGGAGACGCTCATGATAATTTTTATGGCCTTGTACGGTGTTTATATTTTTATATTTTATACATATGTTTTAACAGTATTTTATGATTGTTTTATTTGTTGAGGCATCAAATGTTGCCAACTGTTAACTTCCCTGAGTCGCCTTCGGGCTGAGAAGGGTGGTATACAAATATGGTAAATAAATAAAATAAAACACAACTAAACAGTACATGTGTAATATCCTCTATCTCTGTCACCTCATAGATACAGAAACGTACGTGTGTGTGTGTGTGTGTGTGTGTATATGAATGATTTCCCAAGAACAGATTATTTTCAATACAGCTGTATATATAAGAAAGATGATTTTCCTAGTACAGATTATTTCCGGGTTCCTACCCATTTTATTTCAGGGAGTTTGGGTCCTAAAATGTACAGATTGGAAGATATCACTTGGAAACCCAGAAGGGCAAAAATGTCCGGAGGTTCATATTAAAAAACCCCCCAAAAACCAAGGATAATATTAATGAAAGAGAAGGGGCATGTATTCAAGGAAAGAAAGGAAACAAGGCTATTACACTTTTACTAATTGTGAGGATTTCAGTCCTGTGCACTCTTATCTGGGAGAGAGCCCATCTGAATCCACAGGGATTCAGTTCCAAATACATATGCACTACAAAAGAGGAAATTAAAGGAGAATTTAATTAAAGCTCATGTCACCACTTAAATAGAAACCATTTTCATGGCTTACCAAAGTTGAAAGACAGAAAATAGCCTAGTTCCACCCCTTTTTTGGAAATTGTTCTGTTATTAAAATTGAAACTATTTTAGGTGGAGAGCAATGCCATGCCAGTTAAGAACAGGGACTTTCCCTGTATACTATTTTTAAAGTACAAGGGTAGGCAAAATATGGTCCCCTCTCCATTTGCTATGCTGACTGGGGCTTCTGGGAATTATAGTTCAAAAGCACCTGGAGGGTTGTGCTTGCCCACCTTGTTCTAGCACAGTGGTTCTCAACCTGTGGATCCCCATGTGTTTTGGTCTTCAACTCCCAGAAATCCCAGCCAGTTTACCAGCTGTTAGGATTTCTGGAAGTTGAAGGCCAAAACATCTGGGGACCCACAGGCTGAGAACCACTGTTCTAGTACATACTAGCATTGTTCTTCACCAGGCATCCCTACACTATGTTTTGATGTTTTTAAAATAAGACTTTGTTTTGGGATAGGGGAACATATCCACTGGCCTCATGCTATTGATCTGAAATTCCTACAAGCCCTGGCCAGTATAGACATGGGGGTAGGGGCGGGTACTGGTGGGATCTCAGGAAGGCCACTTATTATCTATCCTTTTCTGATTTAACCTTAGTGAACATTCCTGGCTAGTCAACTTGCTGCCTAGTTGCTATGATAAGGTCAAATCCAGTCTTTAACAGGAGTAGTGGGATTCTGTCCCCTTTTATTTTGTATTACCTCCTCCCAGCTTCTAATTTGAAAAGACTTGTTGTTGTTAATTGCCATCAAGTTGGCTTGCACTTATGGCAACCCTATGAACAACCCTGCTCAGTTCTTACATATTCAGGGGCTTGGCTTCTTTACAAGCCTGTTGTTGTGGTGGTTCTTCCAGTTGTTTCTGGCATATATGGACCCTCTCCTGGAGTTTTCTTGGCAAAACTTGTTCAGCAGAAGTTTATTATGGCCTTCCTCTGAATCTGAGAGAGTGTGACTTTTAGAAAAACATGACCTTTTAGAGATCATAACCTTTTAGAGAAGAGCCAAAATTCTGCTTGAGTAGAATCTTCTCAAGTGGTGTACAACCAAATGTAACTATGCAAGGCAAATGGCTTCAGTTGTTAGACTGAACAATCTGTTCTCTCTGATCTGTTAGGAACAGAGAATATGCCAATACAAAAAAAGCAGTTCTTCAAAAGTGTTTTTCAGTGCCTAAAATATATCTACTCTCCAATAAAACAACTTGTTTTATATTATGCACTTAAGAGACAAAATAGACTGGTAAAAATGACATATTTGGTTTACTCACGACCTTCGTGTGTTCAGCATACACAGGTACACAACTTATCTGTTAGTTACAGATATGTTTGAGATAGTTTCTGAGCCAGTTTCTGGTCAGAACATCTATCTTATAATAAAACAGCAGGCAAGTGTTTGCAAGTCTGCGATCAGAACAATCCCAAAGTCTAAAGAAATCTCTGCACTGTGCTCGTCCCACGTGGTCTGCAGTTCCCCCCTCCCCACACACAACTTCTCAGGAAAACATAGAACAAGGAAAGCTGCATAAC